TATATATATATATATATATATATATATATATATATATATATATATTGGAAAATGCTCTCGTGAGCCAGCTCGCGCATAGGAAATACGTGTGCCGAACGGCTCAGATGGTTTTTTCGAGTGTGAACGGTTGGAAGTTGCCCCTTTCAAAATAGTAGGATGTCAGTTGTAGCAGACAACCTCAGTCCTACTTGCAGAGCCTTTCTCTCATCTCGCACAACCAGCCCGCACTCTCTCTCTCATCTCACACACCCAGCACGCAATATCTCTTTCTCATCTCGCCATCCCCGCTCACAGAGGTCTCTCTCATCTCGCACACCGAGCACGCAGTTTCTCTCTCTCATATCATCATCCCTACTCGCAGAGGTCTCTCTCATCACGTCCTACTAAAACCAGTCTCTCTCTCATCTCGCCCTCCCTGTAGTTTTTTTTCTGAGCACCCCCACAACGAAGGTAATGGTGATTTGCAGTTTTACTTTGTGTTTTTAATTAGGGTATTATATATACTCGAATGGAATCCATTGCTTTTTAGATGATTATGGGGCTTTTTGTTCATTACGAAAGTGTCATTTCAAACAAACCTGCAATTTGGGTTTTTAATGGAAATTTGGATTTTTTATTTTATTTTGTAATACTTGAATGTCATCCATTAGTGTTGCTGATTTATAGTTTCCTTTTAGTTGATTCTTGGGCTGGTTGTTAATGGAAATTTGGATGTTTTTATTTATTTTGAAATACTCGAATGCCATCCGTTAGTGTTGCTCTGTTAACTGATTTATGATTTCCTTTTATGTTGATTCTTGGGCTGGTTGTTAATGGAAATTTGATTTTTTTTTTTTTTTGTAATACTCGAATGCCGTCCATTAGGGTTGCTCTGTTAACTGATTTAAGGTCCTTTCGTGTTGATTCTTGGGCTTTTTGTTCATTAGTTTTGTTTCCTTTCAATAATCAAGCACTTTTTTTTTGTTAATGGTTCGAATATGGTTTCTTCTTACTATTGGAACTGATGTTGCTCTGTTTAGTACAGATTTGGATTTTTTTTGTAATACTTGAATGCCTTCTGTTGAGTGAATCACGGTTTCCTTTTGTGTTGATTCGTGGGGTTTTTGTTCATTAGAAAAGAAACCAGTTATATTTCAATCATCAAGCATTTTGGTTCGTTAATAATACAAAACAGGGTTTTTTTCTTACTGTAAGAATTGAAGTTGCTCTGTTAAGTACTGATTTGGAGTTTTTTTTTTTCAATAGTTCTACTCTCTTAACTGATTTACGGTTTCCTTTTATGTTGATTCTTGGGCTGGCTTTTAATGGAATTTTTTTTTTTTTTTTTGTAATACTCAAATGCCGTCCAATAGTGTTGCTCTGTTAACTGATTTGCGGTTTCCTTTGGTGTTGATTCATGGGCTTTTTGTTCATTAGTTTTGTTTCCTTTCAACAATCAAGTAATTTTTGTTTGTTAATAGTTCGAATGTGGTTTCTTCTTACTATTGGAATTGATATTGCTATGTTTAGTACTGATTTGGATTTTTTTTGTAATACTTGAATGCCTTCTGTTGAGTGATTCACAGTTTCCTTTTGTGTTGATTCTTGGGCTTTTTGTTCATTAGAAAAGAAACCAGTTATTTTTCAATCATCAAGCATTTTGGTTTGTTAATGATACAAACATGGTTTTTTCTTACTGTAAGAATTGATGTTTCTCCATTAAGTACGGATTTGGAGTTTTTTTTTTTTCAATACTGTAAGAATTTAGTGTTGCTCTGTTAACTGATTTACGGTTTCCTTTTATGTTGATTCTTGGGCTGGTTGTTAATGGAAATTTTGACTATTTTCTTTTTTTTTTGTAATACTCGAATGTCGTCCATTAGTGTTGCTCTGCTAACTGATTTACGCTTTCCTTTGGTGTTGATTATTGGGCTTTTTGTTCATTAGTTTGTTTCCTTTAAATAATCAAGCAATTTTTATTTGTTATTGGTTCGAATCTGATTTCTTCTTACTGTTGGAATTGATGTTGCTATGTTTAGTATTGATTTGGATTTTTTTTGTAATACTCGAATGCATTCTGCTGAGTGATTCATGGTTTCCTTTTGTGTTGATTCTTAGGCTTTCTGTTTATTAGAAAAGAAACCAGTTATTTTTCAATCATCAAGCATTTTGGTTTGTTAATGATACAAACAAGGTTTTTTCTTACTGTAAGAATTGACGTTGCTCTGTTAAGTACTGATTTGGAGTTTTTTTTTTTCAATACTGTAAGAATTTAGTGTTGCTCTATTAACTGATTTATGGTTTCCTATTATGTTGATTCTTGGGCTGGTTGTTAATGGAACTTTGGATTTTTTTTTTTTTTCTATTACTCGAATGCCTTCCGTTAGTGTTGCTCTGTTAACTGATTTGTGGTTTTCTTTGGTGTTGATTCTTGGGGTTTTTGTTCATTAGTTTTGTTTCCTTTCAATAATCAAGCAAATTTTTGTTTGTTAATGGTTCGAACATGGTTTCTTTTTACTGTTGGAATTGATGTTGCTCTGTTTAGTTCTGATTTGGATTTTTTTTGTAATACTAGAATGCCTTCTGTCAAGTGATTCACGGTTTCCTTTTGTGTTGATTCTTGGGCTTTTTGTTTATTAGAAAAGAAACCAGTTATTTTTCAATCATCGAGCATTTTGGTTTGTTAATGATACAAACAGGGTTTTTTTCTTACTGTGAGAATTGAAGTTGCTCTGTTAAGTATTGATTTGGACTTTTTTTTTTTTTTTTCAATACTGTAAGAATTGAGTGGTTCTCTGTTAATTAATTTACGGTTTCCTTTTATGTTGATTGTTGGGCTGGTTGTTAATGGAAATTTGGATTTTTGTTTTTGTAATACTTGAATGTCGTCCATTAGTGTTGCTCTGTTAACTGATTTACGGTTTCCTTTGGTGTTGATTCTTGGGCTTTTTGTACATTAGAAAAGAAAACAGTTATTTTTCAATCATCAAGCATTTTGGTTTGCTAATGATACAAATAGGGTGTTTTCTTACTGTAAGAATTGATGTTGTTCTGTTAAGTACTAATTTGGAGTTTTTTTTTTCCATACTCGAATGGCATCCATTGATATTGCTATGTTAAGTAGTAATACGAAGTTTTTTTTTTAATGCTGGAATGACATCAATTGATGTTGCTTTGTTAAGTAGTAATACAATGGTAATGGTGGTTTACAGTTTCATTTTGTGCTGATTTTGGGGCTTTTTGTTCATCAGAAAAGACACCATTTATTTTTCTTATTGTTAATGGTTATTTACGGTTTCTTTTTTTGTTTATTTTAGGGCTTTTTGTTCATTAGGTTTGCTTCCTTTAAATCGAATACGGTTTGTTTTAGTTGAGATTTGAAGGCGAATGATTCTGAATGAAGAATTAGAGCTTTTTGTTCTTGTTTTTAATTTTTTTTAGTGTTCAAGAAATAAGGATCGATATTTAACTAAACTTAATGACCAAAAGAAAAGTTATGCAAATTGTCAAATCATTTAATAAAAAATATGTGAAGTGTTAAAAGAAATTGTGTTTTGTGCAGGGTAATTTTAGTACCTGTGATGAACCTCACCATTTCAGAAAGTGTCGCATCTCTCTCATGGTCAGAGGATGACAACATGGGCAATACTGTAGAGCCCATGGAGGAAGATCCCTTGCTTGCAACCTTGTCCCTCAATATGTCCACAAGATCCCTTGCTTGCAACCCCATCCCCCATGGAGCAAGTTCCCTTGGGTGGTGTCACACTTTCTGAAATGGTGAGGTCCATCTAAGGTACTCTAAGTACCCTACACAAAACACATTTTATTTCAGGTCCAATCTATAATCACTAGTTTGAACACTAAATATGGTTATTAGTTTCCATGTCATTGAACACCTAATTTTAAATTCAATGAGCATACTAGATTGAAAATGTAAAGCTCATGAAAAATTGTAAATGCAAAGCTGAAAGTGAATTTATTGACCTCACTAAGGGTGGTATAGTAGCTGTGGAACTCGCTCCAACTCCACCTTAGACAAGCCAAGTTAGTAACACTCTCCAACAAGAGGTTAAGATCACAAAACTGTAAGATTAGGATCGAAATTTAACTCAATTGATGCCATTCGAGTATTTAAAAAAAGAAAAGAAAAAAAAATCTACAAATTAGGTCTTAAAATAGCAACATCAATTCCACCCTATTTGAACTATTAACAAACAAAAATGCTTGATGATTGAAAGAAAACAAACCTAATGAACAAACAACAATCACTTAACAGAGCAACATGAATGGATGCAATTCGAGTATTAAAAAAAAAACAAAAAGTCCAAATTAGTACTAAATAGAGCAATCAATTCTTACAGTAATAAGAAACCTTGTTTGAACCATTAACAATCCAAAATGCTTGATGATTAAAAGGAATCAAAACTAATGAACAAAAAACAATCACTTAACAGAGCAACATCAATGAATGCCATTCGAGTTTAAAAAAAATAAAATAAAAAATCTCCAAATTATGACTTAATAGAGCAATTCCACCCTTTTTGAACCATTAACAAACCAAAATGTTTGATGATTGAAAAGAAACAAAAGTAATGAACAAAAAGCCCAAGAATCAACACAAAAGGAAATCGTGAATCACTCAACCGAGAACCACTACACTAATGGATGTCATTCGAGTATTAAAAATAAACATCCAAATCAATACTAAACAGAGCAACATCAATTCCAACAGTAAGAAGAAACCACATTCGAACCATTAACAACCAAAAATTGCTTGATTAATGAAAGGAAACAAAACTAATGAACAAAAAGCCCAAGAATCAACACCAAAGGAAACCAGAAATCAGTTAACAGAGTACCACTAATGGGCGGCATCCAAGTATTATGAAAAAAAAAAAAAAATTCAAAATTTCCAAGAACAACTAGCCCAAGAATCAACATAAAAGGAAACCGTAAATCAGTTAACAGAGCAACACTAAAAAAAAACTTCAAATTAGTACTTAACAGAGCAACATCAATTCTTACAGTAAGAAAAAACCCTGTTTGTATCATTAACAAACCAAAGTACTTGATGATTGAAAAACAACTGGTTTTTTTTCTAATGAACAAAAGGCCCAAGAATCAACACCAAAGGAAACCATAAATCAGTTAAAAGAGCAACACTAATGGACGGCAATCGAGTATTACCAAAAAAAAAATCCAAATTTCCATTAACAACCAGCGCAAGAATCAACATAAAAGGAAACCGTAAATCAGTTAATAGAGCAACACTAAATTCTTACAGTATTGAAAAAAAAAACGTCTAAATCAGTAATTAACAAAGCAACAACAATTCTTACAGTAAGAAAAAAACGTTGTTTGTATCATTAACAAACCAAAATGCTTGATGATTGAAAATAACTGGTTTCTTTTCTAATGAATAAAAAGCCCAAGAATCACACAAAAGGAAACCATGAATCACTCAACAGAAGGCATTCTAGTATTACAAAAAAAATCCAAATCAGTACTAAACAGAGCAACATCAATTCAAACAGTAAGAAGAAACCACGTTCGAACCATGAAAAAACAAAAATTGCTTGATTATTGAAAGGAAAAAAAACTAATGAACAAAAAGCCCAAGAATCAACACCAAAGGAAACCGCAAATCTGTTAACAGAGCAACACTAAAGGAAGGCATTCGAGTAAAAAAAAAAAAAAATCCAAATTTCCAGTAACAACCTGCCCAAGAATCAACATAAAAGAAACCATAAATTAGTTAACAGAGCAACACTAAATTCTTACAGTAATGAAAAAAAAAACTCCAAATCAGTACGTAACAGAGCAACATCAATTCTTACTGTAAGAAAAAACCTTTTTTGTATCTTTAACAAACAAAAATGCTTGATGATTGAAAAATAACTGGTTTCTTTTCTAATGAACAAAAAGCCTAAGAATCAACACAAAAGGAAACCGTGAATCACTCAACATAAGGCATTCGAGTATTATAAAAAAAATCCAAAGAAGTACTAAACAGAGAAACATCAATTCCAACAGAAGAAACTATGTTTGAACCATTAAAAAACAAAAATTGTTTGATTATTGAAAAGAACAAACCTAATGAACAAAAAGCCCAAGAATCGACACCAAAGGAAACCGAAAATTAGTTAACAGAGAAATACTAATGGACGGCATTCGAGTACTACAAAAAAAAACAAAAAGAAGAAGATAAAAGATAGTTCCAAATTTCCATTAACAACCAGCCCAATAATCAACATAAAAGGAAACCGTAAATCACTTAATAGAGCAACACTAAATTCTTACAGTATTGAAAAAAAAAAAACTCCCAATCAGTACTTAAAAGAGCAACATCAGTTCTTACAGTAAGAAAAAACCCTGTTTGTATCATTAACAAACCAAAATGCTTGATGATTGAAAAATAACTGGTTTCTTTTCTAATGAATAAAAAGCCCAAGAATCAACACAAAAGGAAACCGGGAATCACTCAACAGAAGGTATTCGAGTATTACAAAAAAAATCCAAATCAGTATTAAACAGAGCAACGTCAATTCCAACAGTAAGAAGAAACAACGTTCGAACCATTAACAAACAAAAATTGCTTGATTATTGAAAGGAAACAAAACTAATGAACAAAAATCCCAAGAATCAACACCAAAGGAAACCGCAAATCAGTTAATAGAGCAACACTAATGGACGGCATTCGCGTATTACAAAAAAAAAAAAACCCAAATTTCCATTAACAACTTGCCCAAGAATCAACATAATAGGAAACCATAAATCAGTTAACAGAACAACACTAAATTCTTACAGTATTGAAAAAAAAACTCCAAATCATTACTTAACAGAGCAACATCAATTCTAACAGTAAGAAAAAAACTATGTTTGTATCATTAACAAACCAAAATTCTTGATGATTGAAAAATAACTGGTTTCTTTTCTAATGAACAACAAGCCCAAGAATCAACACAAAAGGAAACCGTCAATCACTTAACAGAAGGCATTCGAGTATTACAAAAAAAATCGAAATATGTACTAAATAGAGAAACATCAATTCCAACAGTAAGAAGAAACCACGTTCGAACCATTAACAAACAAAAATTGCTTAATTATTGAAAGGAAACAAAACTAATGAACAAAAAGCTAAAGAATCAACATCAAAGGAAACCGTAAATCAGTTAACAGAGCAACACTAACGGACGGCATTCGAGTTTTACCAAAAAAAAAAAAGCAAAAAGGAAAAAAAAAAACCCAAATTTCCATTAACAACTATCCTCAGAATCAACATAAAAGGAATCCATAAAGCAACACTAATGAATGGCATTCGAGTATTTCAAAATAACATAAAATAAAATCCAAATTTTTATTAACAACCAGCCCAAGAATCAACACAAAAGGAAACCGTAATTCAGCTAACAGGGCAACAGTACTGGATGACATTCAAGTATTACAAAATAAAGTAGAAAATCCAAATTTCCATTAACAGCCCAAATTGTAGGTTTGTTTGAAATGACACTTTTGTAATGAACAAAAAGCCCCATAATCAACTAAAAAACCCTAAAATCCATGGATTCCATTTGAGTATATATAAAGCCTTAAAAAAAAGGCAAAGTAAAACTGCAAATCACCATTACCTTCATTGTGGGGGTGCTTAGAAAAAAACCCAACTGCCGGGAGGGCGAGTGAGTGAGAGACTGGTTTTAGTAGGACGTGATGAGAGAAACCTCTGCGAGCAGGAACGACGAGATGAGAGAGAGAAACTGCGTGTTGGGTGTGCGAGATGAGAGAGACATCTGTGAGCAGGGATAACGAGATAAGAGAGAGAGATTGCGTGTTGGGTGTGCGAGATGAGAGAGAGTGCGGGCTGGTTGTTCGAGATGAGAGAGAGGCTCTGCAAGTAGGATTGAGGTTGTCAGCTACGACTAACATCCTACTATTTTGAAAGGGGCAACATCCAACCGTTCACACTCGACAAAACCCTCCGAGCCGTTCGGCGCACGTATTTCCTATGCTCGAGCTGGCTCACATGAGCATTTTCCTCTCTCTCTCTATATATATATAGATATATATAACGCTCTGTACTAAATTGAAGAAATGCTACCTTTGGGTTATGTCCCACTATAATTGTTTCACATTTTGTACCTTCGTCTTTAGCCATGTATGGAGTCATCAATATGCTCAGTTTGTTTGTCATATTGGATTTTACTTAGAACAACTCCATGCTATGCAACAAGACAATTTACGTATCCAAATAGAAAATTTATAATAATCAAACATATGAATTTCCACATATTGGCTAATATGTCTCTAGAAGTATCCATTTCGAATTGCAAACTATAATCCGCAATCCTTCATACCAAATGTTGGCCTTAAAATACTGGACTTTAGGTTTTCTAGACTATAATTTTTAGAGTTTGTAAACTAAGGCTCTAGCTAAACTAGGAAAGTCAGCAAACATAGAGCATGCAAAGGAAAAAAATAAGAAACTTATGACCAGTGTTTAAACAAACGCCAAGTCGAACCGGAATCGCCCGGTTTGACTCGGGAATCACCATGGACGGATCGAATCGGCGAAAAAAACAGGAATCGTCCGGTTTTAGAGAGAACCGGATGATTCTGCACAGTGACGCGCCGATTCAATGTACGGAAACGGCGAGTCCCGTACGGAATTTTATTTTATTTTATTTTATTTATTTTTTTTATTTTTATTTTTTGTAATCCATGATAGATTTTTTTGTAATACTTGATCGATTTTTTGTAATCCATGATGGAATT